CTCAGCACAAGGTTTGGCACACTTCAAACATTAAATAAACCATGTGCTATCAACACTGGTGAGCAATGTCAATGCCTTGAAACACAACCAACAGTTGTATTTAAAGAGTTCTGAATCTGTGTTTAGAAAGTACTCAATGGAACCCCAGTGCTGGATGTAGTGAAAGAGAGGAGAAGTGAAGGAGTAACTGCTCCCTTTATAAAAGAACATCTGATTTTGAGAAAAATGGCTTTTGGTTGACTAGCAGGATGAATGAGCTGCAAAATATGCCCCTGAAGTCCTCAAAGAATGGACCTGCTGCAGGGTATTGCCCATTTGAAAGTTGGAATATTTCTTCCAAAAACATTACTTTTGCTTTAGCACAGTTTATGTTAAACTCCTTCCAGCAAAAGGGGTTTGCCTGCTTCTTTTGTTTTGGCAGTTGGGACTTAAACATTATTAAAAAATATTTATAGGGTCTTAAGTTGAGAAGGATCTTTAATATTAGTATAATAACAGTTTCCATTTACTCAGCACTTACTGTTTGCTGGGAGTCATTCTGAGTGTTTTATATATTTTACCCTGCTATTCAGGAATGAAAAGAATGAACTATTGATATACTCAACAACATGGGTAAATCTCAAATCATGCTGTGTGAAAGAAGCCAGACAAAAAACGGAGTGCATGTCGTATGATTCCATTATATAAAATTCTAGAAAATGCAAGCTAACCCACTGTGACAGGAACAGATCAGTGTTGGCCTCAGCACAGGGGAGGGTGGAAGGACTGGGATGGAGGGAGGGATTAGCAAGAGACATGAGGAACTTCCAGAGGTGATGGTAATGTTCATTATTTTTATTGTAGTGATTGCGTCATGGCTGTGTAAATATGTCAAAACTTATCAAGGTGTATCCTCTAATATGTACCATGTATTGTGTGTCGATTATAACTCAATAATGCTTTTTCTAAAGGGAAAACATTTAAAAAATTATGCTGCCTTTTAGTAGGAAATGGATAAATGAGCTGTGATTTATTTACACAATGGAATTCTATGCAGCAATGAGAGTAATGAAGTAGATCTGCATGCATGAAAACAGTCAGTGATTTAAGAAGTTTCTAAAAAAGTTACAGTAAGATACATACTTAAAATTTAAATACACACAACAGTACTGTGTATCTGTATGGGTACCTATATGTACCCACAGTGTAAGTTTGGAATGATACACATCAACTTTGGTTACTGAGGAGCAAGGAGGAGGAATGGATAGGGGTGGGTGTTGGTTGCGATGCTAAGATCCACAGCAGAATGACAAAGTTTTAACATCTGTGAAGTCTGGGTGGTGGGTGCATGGACATCTGTTGTATTATTTTCTGTACTTTTCTGCATGCCTGAAATATTTCATAATTTTTTAAAAGTTTAAGTAATTCTCCTTTCTACTCTTAGCATCCAGTTCTCCATGCCATGGGCAACTGCTATTGTCAGTTGATTGTATGGCCTTCTGGAGATATACTAAGTATATAGAAGCATAGATGTGTGAGTGTATATAGATGTAAATTTTTATGTATCTCTTTTTAAACAAGACACAATCTGGTGCTTACTATATACACTCTCCTGTATCTTGTTTCTCTCTCCAAAAAGCTTTGGAAATAGTTCCAACTCAATTCATACAGAATTTCTTCATTCTTTGTAATAATGCTTAGGATTCCATCCTAAGGAAAATTAGGCCATTTCCCATCTTTTGCCATTACATTTACATTATAAACACACATCTTGCACATCTGTCTGGGTGTACTATCTGCCATTTAAAGCGGACTATAGCACATCAAAGCTAATCTTTTCTTTATTACATAGGGTCTTAAGTACAAACAGCAATGAAAATGCTGGGCTGTAAGAAGCATGATGGGCTCACGACGTGGGTGGGACAGTTAGCCTCTCATCTAATGCCAGAGAAGCTACCCTCTGAGTTTCTGTATCTCCTTTTGTAAAAATTCTATTTCCTCTTGGATACCAAGTCTCCAGCTCCCACTTTTCTGTTAGTTGCACCCTTTCTCTTACCATTTTGTTGCTTCTAAAATGTTTTAGGCTAACAAGTCATATAAACAAAGTTGTTTGGACTGTGACTAAAGTAAGAGGCAGGAGATCCCAAGTAAAGGAATTCAGTGCTTTTCAGAGGTAAGGGCATGAGCTTTGCTACATGGACTTTGTGACATGGATGCTGGCTACCCTGGTGCTTTGGGTTACCCACCAATTCTAGTTAGTTCTGGAGAGGTGATGGTAGCGGACAGCTGCTTCATCCATCATCTAGTGTGAGAGGAGGGCTGGGACCGAGAGGCCACCAGGGAATTAACAAGAGACCGAGAGCACTGTGTTTTGGTGTATGTCCAGCTGTGGTAGGGAGCCAGCGTCCATCCTGGCTCTTTTGACAGCATTCTGTGACTGTTTTGAATAATTCTTTGTGTTCCAACAGGAAAGAAGGAGAAAATCCTCCAGCTGAGGGACCCAGAGTAAGAACAAGAGGTCTGAGCAGTGTAGAAGCTCATCCCCTTTTCCTTGGCTATGACGTTTTACTCTCTATTTGAAGTATTCTTCAAATTATAAAATCAATGTAGAGAAGACCCTCTAGAATTCTCAAATAGTAATACAAACAATAATAATGTCAAATATTTATTTCACTTTTCAAAACATTTTCTTACCAGAGAGGTATACTGGTGGTTAAGAGCACAGACTCTAAAGTCAGACTGTCTGGGTTCAAACCCTGGCTCCTCCATTTATGTGTGGCCTCAGGTAGTTTACTTAACTTCTCTGTGCCTTGATTTTCTCATTTATAACATGGGGATGATGTAAGTACTTAACCTCACAGGTTTGTGCAAGATTAAGCGATTAAAAATTGTATAAAAGTCTAACCTCAGAGAAAAAAAAAAAAGGCAAACCTCAGGTTAGCACCGGACACATACCTGATGGATGTTTGATAAATGCCAGTAATAATAATAATTATTATTATTATCATCATTATTATCATTATTATTTAGTGTAGTTGTACTAAGTAAAAAGAGTAAATTCAGAATCGGAGTAAATAGGCAGAGCTGATAATCTGATCAGCCCTTGGAATCAAGGCTTGCAGATAGGTGTAGAGGTGTATGTTTCCATGAACAAGAAAGGGAAACTGCGTTAGGCAGACCCAGCAAGCTCCAGCCAGGCGTGTGAAGCCTGCTCACTGTCACGGGCGGGCACTAACGTGACAGTGTGGGGCCATGAGGGATGGTTATGACATTGTGCGGCATGGTGGGGGCTGAGGCCTCGTGGAGCAAAGCGGAAGCTAGCTGTTTACCAGAGCTGTCTCTTCATAGCTGATTGCTAACACGGAGGGAATTTTGCGAGCTGGTTGGTAAACACAGCCATTGTTTGAAAAAAAAAATTAGACAATCATACAATTAAGTAAATTGTATCCAAAACAAAGGTAATAACTATACAAAACTCATTACATCCAAATTAGTCTACCACATTTCACCATCATCTATGCTCTTCAGGTTATTTTCATGTTTCATTATCATATCTGTAAAGTGTGGAGATATGATAACTGGGGCGCCACTGTGCATCTCTGACTCCATGTTCACTGACCACGTTCATTGCATCAGTAACTTGCAACCGGTCATGGTGGGAGGATCTGCACTACGGAAGCTGGCAGACATACAGAGCAGGGCTTGGTCTGTTTTGTTACTGTGTAGACTTAAGAGATGCTGGAGACAAATGCTAATGCAGATTACTCTTAAAAGTGTGTCATACCTGTAGCTGTTTACATGGTGAAGAGCCCCACATTCTTCCTTCAGAAGATGCCCACATTGTGGACAAACCAGCCAAGTTCTGACCTGAGTCTTCACCCCCTTTGTCTTACTTGTTACCACCCATGGGGTAGCTAGAATCGATTGGTGGACTGAGACTGACCTGTGAAACATTTCCCAGCCCAGCAGGATGAAGCCTGGAGGCCAGTGTGACAGAGAGGCAGGAGTCTGCTAACTGCTCTGGGATGCAGAAAGCAGAGGCAGTGCTGGGCCTCCCAGCCCCAGACCCCGATGCCGGGAGAGCTGGCACGCAGTGCAGAAAGGAGGCGGATCTGAGCTGCTCTCTCCCATGGGACCCCAGGGGGGCCCGAGCACCGGTGACCCCATACTGGTTGGCTTGAGTTCATGTGTGCAGGTGCCAAGGAAGGACCGGGGGAGTGAAGCAGTCCAGGCTCAGCAAGCCCACTTTGTGAGTCAGCCAGCCTAAGGCCCGGGTGATGTAGCGAGGGAGGAAATCGAAGGTTCACGTCTCCTGTCATCAGCTGTGGCTTCTGACTTGCCCATTGCAAGCAGGTGTGTGCTGATTCCCCACCTCTGGGGCATTTTGCCCTGGAGGTGTGGCCGTGCACTGGGGTCTCATTGGGAAAGCTGGGCAGGGTGGGGTGAGGGACCCTCCTGGGAGTGAGGGTCAGGGAGGAAGTGACTCTGGCGGGGGAAACCCCTGCAATGAGCCCCTGACCCTGAGGCTGCAGCCAGGCGTGGAAAGCCAGTGAGAAGCGCGCTCCATGTGGTCAAAGACTGGATGCACCTGCCAGCCTTGCTGCCTGATGGTGACCTTGGGCAATCTCTTACTATTACCTGAGCCTCAGTTTCCTATCTATAAGATAGGAGGGGTGAACACAATGATCTCTAGAGATGCCTCCACTGACAGAAGCCTACCAGCCTGCCGAAATCTCTCAATGGCTTCCCACTTTCCTTGTCCTCAAGGTGCTGAACTGCTTGTTGTGTGTTGAACTTGGGGCCTGGAGGAGCTTGCACAGGCCAAGGAGGAATGTAGGGAAAGGACAGGAAAGGGCATGGGGCTAAGGGGTGCTGCGGGAGAGAGGAGGGGGCAGCCCAAGGGCAGCAGAGAGGGAGGAGCGGTGCGGCCTCAGGAGCCAAGCCCACCCAGCAAGTGCCTGGCACACTGCTCCAGTGCAGAGTCAAGGACAGGGTCACTGGCTCCCCAGCATGCCCCTTACCTTGCAGCATTGCTGACGTGGTGTAGTAGTTGAAGGGCACGTTTTTCACCTGGTACTGCTCGCCATCGAGGCTGGCCAGCTTGGCTCCCACCAGCACTGATTTGCCGGTGCCCGCGGTCCCCAGCAGCATAACTGGCCACCGCCGCTCCATAAGCCGCTCCAGGAAGTAGCACACTCGGATGGTCTCACTCGTGTGCACCAAACAAGCCTGGAACGGGAACACAATGAGTGTGCCAGGGGCTTGTGGGAGAGACAGATACACTGCAAAACGTTCTGGACCATTTCAGGAGAGGGATGCTCCCCTCATAGCCATGGTAAGGCCATCCTATAACTCCCCCTCAGTGTAGCGAGTATCCCCTCCCGTCCTCTTCCAGCTCTGTCTGCCTCCCTGTGGCTTCTCTCACATATTTTAGATTTTTTTTTAACCTTCTGCACACAGGATGCTGGGGGGTTCTGGGAAT